AAAAGGAGATGGATGAGCGGACCTTAAGCTTTTATAGGGCTCCCCCTCTGGTTACAGCCCTGAATTTTATGATAAATCTGGTTTTGACAAATTGTTTTGCACACCTAGTTTTGTGATTGTCTGGTCTAGTAAGGCCATTAGTCTCTTTCAACCTTGTAAACGGTTAATATTCTCAAGTAACAGTAGATACAGATTATATGATCCTTTTCAAAAATCTCACTGAATCTCTATGAACATATATATCTCAGAATATAATCAGCAAAAAATATCAATTTCCGTTTGAGCTCCCTGAATTCCCTGATATGAATTGTAGCTTTGATATTTAAGTGATTTAATTAAGGGCCCTTTTCAAATTTCCTATTAATTTCTATCAGTCATACTTTAGATTTCTCTAGAACTGCTAATGTTCTTCTCTTTTTTTTGACCCTAATCTTGTTGGATGTTTTCAAAATGATATTTTCAAAAATCTTAAATGAAACATTTTTTTATATCTGTAAAATTGGTTGGCTGCATTTGTTCCTTGATTACAGACTCATTTGCCCATTTTGCTCTGGCTTCAGTTGAATTATAGCCCAGAGGCTTATTCGAAGTATCGATAAAATTTGAAGATCTTAAAAATGTATTTGAAGTGCTAGACGCGACATTTCAATGTCACGGCGGAATATTCACAAATGCCAACGATAATGACTGAAGTGCATGCATAGAATGCAAAGCGTTAACAATACAAAAACTTTCATCACTTGAACATGTAAATATTTTGCACAAAATAAGTGAACAGAGAATTCGAAATCCTTGTTGATTTAAATCCTCGTCTAGTAGCTCAAAGATTAAAAACTATGCTCAAATTTAAAATTATCGACAACCGTCAGCCATTTGTTTAAACAGAAGGAATACATCGCCTCTTGGCATTATTGAACCATGAAAAAATGTGGCCTTCAAAAATTTAAAATGACCTCGGGCGATCAAAACAMTTTTACAGTAGTTCAAAGCACTTCCTTCATTCATTTGTATATCGACATTTCTTCGTCATGCGATTGCCATTTAACCGCTTATAATTTTTTCGAGCATGCGCATTATTGTCTTAATAAGATAATTTTTCATTCTCGACTTTCACATCCCCAAAATGCCTTGCGTTTTGGGGGGTAACCAATCAAAAAACTGTCCCAAATTGAAAGGTTTCTTAATTGAATTTATACTATACCTGCTTTTATCTGTACAATACTGATTATCAGTTTATTCCAAGTTATTTTTGCGTGTACAGATCATCAAGAGTTTTGGTCTTACAGAAAATGTATTGACTTACGAAAATTTGTTTAAAATTTACCTTAAACGTCTTCGAGCTTCTATCTTTTTCTGTTTTTTACTTCTTCATTTTATCTTTGGATACCAAACAAGGTATTTTCAACATTGTCTGATCAGCCTTCAGCAAAATAAGTGGGTTTTTACCCTCTGGTTACCCCCCAAAGACGCAAAGGATTATGGAGATGTGAAAGTCGAGAATATCTTTTCCTTTTTCAACTTGATAGGGATCGTATTTTATTATATGACGCACTCAATTTTCGTGTATCACGACCATTTTTCGAGCGCAATTACAGAGCGATAATACACGGGTTTTTTTAACTGATGGTCAGCGCGAGGAAATTTTCCTTTGTGTGCGGCTAACGTCAGTGGTTCGAGCTCGATACGAGGTTTGAAAAAATACATCCGCTTTCACTCGTACAAATTCTCCGGCTGTGATACACATGACTTGCAGCTGTAATATACTCAATATGATAAAAGCTTTTTTTTTCAGAACATGAACTACACCAGTCCTGAAAATTCCACAGGGAAGCCTACTGGCTGTCAATCATCACCACCCGGCCAATCGACAGCCGTGGCTTTGTCAATCTCTTACAGCCTCGTTTTAGTGCTCGCTGTGACCGGAAACTCCTTGGTCATCAATTACGCTCGGACGAATTCTAGAATGAAGTTCAACGTGTTTAACTACTTTCTTATCTGCATGGCTAGTGCCGACATCATCGATGTCTTGACCGTGGCTCCCATTCACTGGATCTACTTCTTCTACGGCAATGAATGGATTGGCGGTACCATTGGAGCAATCACTTGTAAGCTTATCTATTATTCYGTCGAAGTGTCTATTTTCGTCTCGGTTTTAACACTCGTTGCCATAACAACCGACAGATACTTTGCTGTATGTCACATGACCTATAAACCTCTGTCACGTGCTAAGACACTGGTTATCATTGCTGGTATATGGTTTGCATCGTGTTTGTTGGCGTCGCCTCAGTTGTATAAATTCAGGGTGCTTGAGGTCAAAGGTCAGGCCTATTGTTTCTCTTCCTGGACAAACGACCCAGACGAAGACGTACTAGGCACACAATTCGAGATGCTTATCAAGTTTGCACTATCATATGGGATACCTTTGTTCCTCATGATAATCATGTATGCAATAATTATACGCGAGCTTCGTAAGCGACTTCRTACGTGTGTCACCGAACAGAACGAGTCACTTCAACGGCGTATCGAGCGGCAAAACCGTCCCCTTGTAGAAATGTTCATCACCTTGGTGATCATATTCGCCATCTGCTGGTTCCCAGTCCACATCAATCACATGCTCATCGCTTTTGATTATCAGACATACCTCTGTCTTCCCACAATAGTACCGCTGCTCTTTTATCTTCTGGCTCATGTCAATGCCGTCATCAATCCTTTTTTGTACTTCATATTCATTACTGCTTTTCGTAACGAGCTAAAGAGAAATGTTAGGCGCCTCTGTGGATGGTCTCGTTTTGCGACGTTCTCGACGACATTTTCTAAATCTAGAAACACAACACTTAACCATAAGTTCGATCCAAATGATCCAACAAATCAACCAAGCCCCGAATTCCGCTGCACGTCTTCCCCAAACGAAGGTGCCATTGCAACAGGGCAAACAAACGAAGCTGTGACGACAGAGGCTGAAATTGACATACACCAACCCAGTACTTTTCGACCACTCCAGATCGAGAGAGGTCTGGGTAGAAGGAGGAGATTTAGCACTGAATCAGGTCCATCGTCTTCGAGAAGCTTAACGTTGAACAACTATATCAACAAAGCGTTCGAGAAAGATGTTAGTAGTAGAGAGTTCAAATCAGCTTCATTGCCATGAAAATTTAATACATTCGTATAAAAATCGGTCCCTTGATCATTATCGTGTAGTTTTAAAACCTGGGTCAATCGGGGACTGAGTTTAATAATATCKTAAATTTCAAGATTTTGGTAAAATTGACGATTCTTAAAAGTCACGTGATACGGGCTTAACCTCGAATCCAGGTGATATTTGAACTGTGAAAAAATGTATTTTTTAGAATTTAGAAAAGCAATCATGGCCACCAAATACCAGATATATCTAGCAAATATTCGCCAAAGGCGAAGTGATTGTTGGTGAATATTTACCGGCCCTGCAATTCACTTTATTCTTTAGAGGCATCAAAAGGGAAAACTTCACTTGTCTAGGTCTCATAAACAATAGACTGTTTCACATCAATCAAGTCCAACTTCGTCTGGTTTCACGAAAATAATTCATATTAAAAAAAAAGCGCATTATCGTAAAAGGTGCGGTGAATATAAAGAACCACTAGCCTCATTTAGATGTTTATGAGCACCAGTCTTCACCGATTTAATATAAATATAAATATCGTGTATGGAATTAAAATATTTTTGTTAGTGATTGATTGTAGCTAGAATATTCTGTAATGAGAATAAAAAATACATTAGTAAAGTGAGTTATTACAGGAAACCATTCATAATCTACTATAGAGGGATAAAAAACATTAAAAAGCAACGAACAACAACACGAGAAAACAAAGAATTAATGGCGGCATAAAAAAAGACGGCATAAGAAATGGTGGCATAAAAATGGCGGCATAAAAATGGCGGCCATTTTGGTTGTCTTAAAGAAAGCTGTCAACCTCTTTACTTTTGGGCTTAATGCTTTTAGCATTTCAAACCACGTGTCATTCTCTTGACATAAAAAAAGACGGCATAAAAAATGGTGGCATAAGAAATGGCGGCATAAGAAATGGYGGCATAAAAATGGCGGCCATTTTGGTTGTCTTAAAGAAAGCTGTCAACCTCTTTACTTTTGGGCTTAATGCTTTTAGCACTTCAAACCACGTGTCATTCTCTTGACATAAAGGTTCCGTGTTTACCGCATTAATCATGGGATGATAAAAAAATCATGAAAAACGAACAACGAAACGACGAAACCCGAAAATGAAAAACGCTAATTTTTAGGAAATAGCTAAGAACACTGAAAATTCCAGGCTCACTACTAAAACAATTCAACATAATGACAAATGAAACGCTTGTAAATATAGCGCAAATTCTAGATTATATATCTAATGYTCAGTTTAAAATCTTAACAGTTCGTGCAATGTGAAGCGAACTTGTTATAACAGACTTCTGTATCTGAAGAGCGATGGATCGGCCCTTATCGCCATATGTTCGCCGTTATCGTCACACATATTCATCCAAAGCCGACTCAAATGAAGGGGAAAAAATCAGGTCTAGTCTTTTCCAGAGACACCAAACGGTTTAGCTGTTCACTAAATCCAGTTGCTAAGCACTGTAAAAGGCTATCCGATTAAGCTCTGATGCTCTAGAGTAGTGCTGTCGTAACTTGTCGCGGTTTTGACAGAGGTCAAAAGGTCTTAGTACCAACAAGTGAATTAATAGTTTTAAGCAAACAACGACGCTTTTGATATTTGGCAGTTTTTAAAGTTTTAAACCAAACATGTTTCGGCAGGTTCGACTACCATCATCAGTGATGGTAAAGTAAAGTGAGATTACAAAATATATAGCAGAAGAAAACAATGGGTGATAGTACAATGGAAAGAAAACTAATGTACTAATTTGAGATTAACATGACGTACTTGTGTTGGCCATGTTACGCCATTACATATTCAGTGGCTTAAGCCAACACTTAACCAACAAGTACATACGACTGCATTGACTACATACTCAGTGCTCACATCAATAAATCAAGAATAGAGATAGGAAGACAAAAAAGCTCAGTCAATCAATCAATCATCAGAGAGACAGACACTCAAATAGACAGAAAAACATGATATAAATACATAAATACGCTCGGACGTTTCTTAACATTAAATATTGATTTTATWTGAGGTAAACTTTGACAAAAAAATTAAACTTGTGTCAAAACGATATTAGATATGTTATATTAATTACTTTAAAGTTTTTTTTTTGTGTAGGCCTGCTTCCGTACCTTTTATGCCATCTACTGCTGTTTCATTATCTAAAAAGAAAAAGTTTGTCAAGTGGATGCCATTTATCTTGGTAAGTCAATATGTTCTTTTTACTAAGAATATAAATGGTCTATACTCTTTTGGTGGRCCATAAACCAATGATTGTTTTAAAAAATATTTTGAAATAAAATAGTACTGTAAATATTTTCTGGAAACTACTGCTTGTATATAAAAGTTGTCGCGTGGAATAAAAAAAAAAAAAAAAAAAAAAAAAAAAAAAATTTAAAAATATGAAATGAGAATTAATACTGAAAAATGGTGAGGTTTTTAATTATTTTTATCAAAATTAACAGCTAGAGAAGAAGTTACCATTAAAGCAAGTTTTCCCCACCTTTTCCTGAATCAAATTTTGTGTCATATCAAAATAGTTAAGTACCTTCAGGAAAATGTAATCAACTCTCTCCCAACCCCCACCCTCTGGAAATCGGCCGAACCTCATCCCCTTCCCAATTCCAACAATTGTATGCTTTCTTATGTTCCCCAATATATTCTGATACCATTAAGGTACCCCCAAAACCGTAATCCAGTTCACTACCCCTCCCCCACACACACACACACACACACACAAAAAAAAACCGACCAAAGTCCCCCAATTGATAAACCTCCCTCTCTATATATATAAAGGTTTGTGAGACTGGGAAGATTCAATTCGGAAAAAGATCGTAAGATAGCCAATCAGATTTCATGAATATTTCATTACGAAACTTCGATGTTAACTCTCGAAAAGAAAACTGTAACAAAGACGAGACTTGGTCAATTTAATGGAACAACCAATTTATATGGAAGTCAAAATACATTCCTATTAGCCCCACAGCTTTAAAAGCTTTGGGCTACTGACGAAGTCAAATGAGCTTTACTCTTTTTTTTTCAATATTATTTTTAGAATGCAACTCAGTGAAATCATGCGGTTGATCTGGCGATAAGTGCACTTTATATCCAGAGCTATTACCTTAAAATCGCAGAACGAGATATCAGACTTACACCGAAACTGATGTGTCGAGTTTGGCTTGAAAAGAGTGATCACTAATTTCTAAAATCCAAYGATTTGCAAGGCGCCGTATTAGGTGGAAGAAGCGATATCGATCGAAGGCTGGGCTTTTGTGTACTTATAATTTTGCRTTTAAAAACATATTAAAAGACTGAAGAAAAGTTCATTTTCGTCTTTAAGAAAACCTCATTCAAGGGAAGGACGTATATATTCAAGTCAGGATTCTAAAAGGTTTAAAAAAAAGGACGTGGATTTTTTACAAATTCGAGGTAAGTAATTGAAAAAATATTTTTAGGAAAAAACAAAATACATTCAATAGAATGAAGGAAATGAAATTTCTTCTCAATGTAAATTTAATTTGGAATCATTTTTGATAATACAAAAGACATTTTTTAAACAACKCTGATATTTTTCTCTCGTTTAGAGTGAGTTTTGATCTTTTTTTCTTTCCGCCTTCCCGTGTTGCGAAACTGACTCTCAATTTAATCTTTAATTTATCTTTCGCGTTTGAATTTTTTTWAAGATATGTCCTATACTTTACAACAAGGTGATTCAATGTCAGATTTCACTTGCTAAAGTACTGAAGATTAGGTTGTATTTGCCAAATATTTTTTGGAAAATTATTCAAAATATCCTAAGGTTTTTGAGGCTGCAAATCCGTGTGGGGTGGTAGTTTCGTTTGTGTGTGTTTTGATATTAAGTTTCAGTGATACGGAAGAGCAATATATGGGACAAACATAAAAAAAGCTAAAATAGGTTTTACGAAAAAAACGGTAATATAAAGAAGTGTGTTAATATCTGGACGACCGACCGACTAAAATAAAGGAGTAACTGAATGAATGAATGAAAAATAAGACTGGATGAAAAGACGAATAAATAAGTAAATAAATAGCATTGACGGATAGATAGATAAATAAACGAAAGAACGAACGAATGAACGAATGAACGAATGAACGAATGAACGAATGAACGAANAAGAGTGAAATTCGAAGGTCATAGTTTAATTTTTGGTTGGTGACAATTGTGTAACGGTATTTTGTCACGTTATCGTTTGTGACATTTTACAATCATCGAAAAATTGATAGTGTTAGGCATACTAGAAATAACATGAATTGGTAAATCTTAAAAAAAAAAAAAAAAAAAAAAAAAGAAAGAAAAAAAAATCTTGAAAAAGTATAGAAAAAAACGTGCATGCAATCTCGCACTGATCATATTCTAATTTTTTTGTCATATCTCAAATTTTATTGTACTCTGTATTCGTAGTGGAAGTAATTTTATTAATATTTAGTAACCACACAATTTTTTTTCATGTGGTTACACCGATTATGAACTGTACTCCCGCATAGATATCTCTTCATTTGTGTTTCAATGCAATTTGTTCGTCATGTACTAAAATTTTTAAACAGCTGTTTTAACCACATCGACCTTTGGCCAAGGTAAACAACAGCAAATAAATGGAGAAGAAAAATGATATTTGAAAAAAAATTGATGTAATATTAATAAATTAAAAGAGAACGAATGAACGAATGAACGAATGAACGAATGAACGAATAAACGAACGAAGGAATTATAAGATATGGATGTATAGAAGAAATGAAAGGTAAAGGAAAAAAGATTCCGCATTCCAAATACACCGTTTATTTTTTAAATATATAATTTGTAATAAATTCACAARTTCAAACAACAACTTATTCAGCCACAAATTATTCACAAATTCAAATGAAAGATTTTTTGAATAGTGATGCGTARTTGTCAAATGTGATGAAGAACATAGGTTAAACGAACATTAAACAATAATAGGCGAATATCATTCGATTTTTCTAAACACTCATTACCAGGATGCCATCCTTTTCGACCTCCTAAGTGGCCCTCGGAAACTATAAAACACACTAAGTGCACTGTCTATAGTCTTCATCAGTTGAAATACTAGTCGATACGATCATTAGAAAGAAATATAGGTCAATACAGCAAGACAGAGGGCAGATGCTGCAGTGTTTCTTTGTATCGCGATCCTCCTATAAGTTTGATCGAGAGAGAGCCGCCAATATAAACCCGTATTGTTGGCTCAGAATTACCGCGCGTGATTGGCTCAAGAGATTTGATTGACGGCGAAAACAACACTTGTTTGGTATCTCAGTCTGGTTCGTGAATGCAACGGTTCTCATTGGAGTCTYAACATCGATGGCAGAAAATCTATTTTTTACATGTTTTACATCCTTTTTTTTACAACTTTGATTTTCATAACTTATTTCCTGACTTGTGATACACAAGGATAAGAACATAACAAGCTGTATCCTACGCTTTCTGCTACAGGTGAGTGAAAAAACAACGCCAAATATTTGTTTTCATTCAAACTAAACTTTCGAAGAAAACTCGACTTTTAGAAGTTATTTCATAACAAAAATAGTTGTAAAATCAGATAAATTCTCTTATTAACGATTTGTTTTACAAAGTAGAGTAATGAAATTAATTCTAGTGTTAAAAACAGGTCAAACTTACGAAAAATCTTTCTCTTTTTGCGAAAACTCGAATTTTCCAGAAACCGTTGCTAGGGAGACCACTGTTAGGTAGTGAGAATTTCAAACAAATCAGGCTTGTTTATCGCTTTTTTCTTCATTTTAAGATTTACGAAATAGGAGGATCGCGATACAAAACTTATTGCGATTTTGAGCCGACAATACTGGTTTATATTAGCGGCGCTGAAAGAGAATATATTCCGCTTCGCGACTACGGCCAATACGGAATATAGTTTCTCCCAACTAGCCTCCAATATAAACCCGTATTTTCGGCTCAAAATCGCAATAYGTTAAATGTTATTTAATTCAAGGAAGAATGATATAAGGCAGTGAGTAGGTGAATGAAGACTTTCAGGGGTAATTTAAAAGAAATGTTTGTGAACCTATAATTGAATTGAAAAAGAAGAGTAACATACAGTCCAAATGAATAAACAAATCGAAGATGGGAATAAACAAATGAAATATATTTATAAATGGATGAATTATTGAAAAAACAAAATTCCGTTTAAACAACTCAGAAATAAAAAATATTGCTCCTGTTGGAGAGATCCCCACTAATTCTTTTGCGGTATTACTGTTCTTATAACTAGAGTATGCAATCTGCTGATTAGTGGGGCCTTTGGGTTGTGATATTGATGTCAGTACGATCAATTATTACTCGAAGAGAAGGATGCTTGAGTGCTATGGACATGGGCATATTGAATTCACAATTTGATCCTTGGATGGCCAAATATACAACAACTTAAAACGACGGTACTTTTGAAGGATCCATCTACGAAAAATTCTTGTGGCAGTTTTTATACAAATAGAAAATTTGTAGGCAAGATATTGTTCAGTAAGACTGCTCGCTCAGGGGTAAGCTATAGCTTTCTTCCTCCATAATTTGACCATAAGTGATGAAGTTAAAGCAAATGTCGAATAATTCCTAATTATAAAACCCGTAAAGAATTTTGTTTTCTTTTTTTTTTTTTGTTTTTTTTTTGTCGCGTTTTATATTTTGTGAATTGAGTTCTTTCTTTTGGTACCATTTTAGACGATTCTCTAAGGATTTTATAGATTCATCTTTTTCATTACTTTCTTTTTTGTGTAACTCGCAAGCTTGAGAGAGAGTTTCTAGTCCCAGAAGATCATGAATTCATTCTTTGTTGTTTTGCTACGGCACATTTTCGTAGACATTACTTTCATGATTACAAGATAAAATGTTTGGGTATCTGGATACAAGACAATTTAAAGTGGTAAGAACATGTTAAGAAAACAGAAAATTTGGATAGTATAAATACAACAAATACAGCAAAGAGAAAGAAATTTTGAAATTAAGATGGCTTCCAGTGAAAGAAAGGACTGAGTTCCTTCTATTAAGAACGGCTCACAAAGCCATCTACGATACAAAATGGTCATCTTACGTTAAGTTAGAACAAAAAGGAAAGATTAGAACATTGAGGTCTAGCTCAACAGCTAACAAACGAAACAAGCCTTAAAGTATTTTCAAACAAAATATGTAATATCGGCTTGAAATCTGCTCTGCCTCTACGAAATAATCCCGTGAAATTCATTCTCAAAACAGAGATTGTTTATCCACATTATTGAGGAAGTTTATATATATATTAACAGAAAATAGACATATCTAGGCTTTGTTTATCTTGTAAAGCGGCTTTTGGTATATAACATTATATGTAACCTTCCGAAGAGAAGAAAATATAGAAAATATCTGATAAAAAATGGCGATAAAATCGGTATCAATACAAAAATATTTAGGTATAAAGTGATTTTTAACCAATCGCTAGTGAAAAAGCTTTAATGAAATCAAAACCTTTCCTTGAAATTTACTAAAATTTGAAAARTAAATAAATAAATTTGAAAAAGCAAACAAACTAAAAGCCATCATATTCACGAAACGGCTTTCTCCACTATATTAAGTTCACTTAAGGCCTAGGGCAAACGTCGAACTTTCCATGCACCGAACTCATTCAAATAAATGGATATCAGGTGATAATGAGGCGGCATTCTTTGATGTAATTAAGTTCGGTGCGTGGAAAGTTCGACGTTTGCCCTAGGCCTTAATAACTCAATATTAATCTTCGTATTCTTTACGCGAATAATAATAAGAAACACGAGCATTAAAGCTCTCCTTGGATTTTAGAATGATATAGCTATATGATCACTTATTTCATTTAGACTTCGACAACAAAATAACATAAAGATCAGTAACAAGGCGCCATGTTGGATGATAAACTGAATCGACTGAACTTGAAAAAATACATATTTTTAAAAAGTACATATTTTATAAAACTCACCCAACATCTTATAAAAATTCTTTCCCAAAGAATGACACACCCGGCGCCATGTTGGATGATAAACTGAATCGACTGAACTTAAAAATTACATATTTTATAAAATTCACCCAATATCTATAAAAACGTTTACGCATGCGTGCCTTTTAGTATGTTTTCTAAGAATTCAGAAGATTTTTAAAGAGAAAGTAAATAATCGTTTTCTCCGAGTATGCAAAAAAATTGTGAGGATACTTAATAATATCAATGAATAGAATATAAGAAAGAAATAGCTTTTGTTTGTTTCCGGTTTAATCTGTAATCCCGGGAGTTTTGATATTATTTCCTTTGTTCATTCAACTTTAGATTAGTATTCCCCCTGGGGTTTGCTTGATGCAAATTTCGTTTAGTTGTCAAAGTGAATTTATTCAGTTTATCATTTATTGCAAAAAAGACACTGCGTAGAGAGGTAGTAAAAAGTTCTCAATTCATCTTAGAGCGGCACAGTGGTAAGTTTGTTTGCGTTACTTTTCTTTCGATCAATTCACTTAATATACATTTTGATAGTTTTACGTGAGTGATAATAAATCTTTTATCAGTTTGAAACACGCCTCGATGCTACTTTTCGATACTGACTTACGATTTCGCATTTAAGGGGCATTTGTGAGAGAAGTTTGAAGATTAAATGTGCATATTTTTTACAATAGGACGAAGATGTGTTTGATAAACTTGTTTACAAATATGGAGCATGAACAGACGTGCATAGATTACGAGCATGCGTAGTCGTGTTTTCGCGTGCTGGATACAAATTTATTATCATGTCGTGTAGTATAATAAAAATTCAAGGATTCGGTAAAGAGGAGAATGAAATCTAAAGAGGAAGACATTTTCAACTTCAATCTTAATCTAGATATGACTAGATCAAATTGTCTTGTATTTCTTTTTTTTCTTTCGAATAAACGCTTCGGGGCGTCTTTAAATGACTGYCGATATTACCGAAATACCTCTATGTTACAAAGGTGTACTCATAAGATAAAAGAGAGCGTACGTGGTTCCCCTAGGCTAGCTTGGGGAGCTTGTTGGAACCCTTTTCGTCAGTGATCGTTGCGGGAAAGACTTTTGCCGAAAGATTAGCCAGAGTTGTAAACTAATGCCGTGAAGTAGCAGCTTTTGTAGAGCGGACTTTGTATAACTTTGAAACAGCACACGGTTCTGTTATAATCGCGGTACGGTGTGGCTTCCTTTAACCTAATCACGACGTTTGAGCTCACAGATAATCCAATGAAAATGCCCCGTTACCATCACGGTCACGGCACCTCATTCCTGTTCGTGCCGTGAATTCACAGCGACATGAAATTTCAAAATTGCTCTAGTGGTGGCGACTAAACTCGTGCCGTCCGTGCAGACGTGAATGCCTTTTACCGCGACTTACGCAATCGGAGTGTTTAAAACCTGGATCTAGTTATAGATATGACGTCCTTTACGATAAGATCATGTTAAAACAACAGAGAAAAATTGCGTGTTGATTCATACTAGATACATAGGTCTTATCATTGCCTTGGGCAAGGCTGTCATTTCGAGTCGGGAAAAAACTTCAACTTGTTAGCTATGCGATAGAAAAGACGTTGAAGACTTCCCAAAGAATATTGGTCATTTGTAACATTTTATTTCAAATAAACACCAAAATAAACAAATAAACAAATAAACCAAATAAACCAAAATAAACAAATTTTAAAGAAAAAGGCTTAATGCATTTTATTAGACAAGTCAGTCTGCAATCTCAAGGATAATTTTGGAATCCCTATATATTTTTATTTGAGTAACTACCGCTAAAGAAAAGATATATTATCGGTTGCCATGCTGGTTGTCGTTTAGGAAAAAATAGGTTTCCAACRAAAAAAATGTGCTTTTAGTTAATTAAACCAACCCGCTTACAAACGAACTTCCTGGCAACAAAACGAATAAGCTTTAAAGTGCTACTACGACGAAAATCGCTCAAACTTGGATTCAGCTGAAACTTCCTAAAAATACTCTTTAAAGGTCCAATAATCACTGTATGAAGTGTTTTCTCGATATTCAGGACGAAAGTATGATATTTTTACGATTATTTTTTGGAGTCTGTGACGTCATACACTCAACATCGAACATTGCTACATATATTTCTTTGTATATAAATCCTTAATTTATTCTATTCCTATGAAGCCCAAAGGGTGGCTATTTTAATGTGCTTATTTCACATTACTTGTGACTATAATTTATATTTTGGGGTGTTTGGGTATTTCTTTCTCCCTTTACTACTGATATTTTGATCATAAACTACAAAGAAATGTATGGAGCGATGTTCGATGTTGAGTGTATGACGTCACAGACTCCAAAAAATAATCGTAAAAATATCATACTTTCGTCCTGAATATCGAGAAAACACTTCATACAGTGATTATTGGACCTTTAAAGAGTATTCTTAGGAAGTTTCAGCTGAATCCAAGTTTGAGCGATTTTCGTCGTAGTAGCACTTTAAAAGTCTTCACTTAATAAAAATACACTAATATTAATTCAAATAATTTCTTCTTAAGGAAATGATGCTTGAAATATTTGGTTTTCCTATAAAGGTGATTTTACACGACACGATTTTTAGCGCAATATTGTTTCGTTAAAAGTACGTTGTATTCGTGTACCATGGCGCGACAGGCAACACAAATCAATGGCAACAATATGTTTGGAGTTCTGAATTTCGTTTAAAAACATGCAACATGCTGTGGCAAAAAAAATATCATTTAAAATTCAGTAACTGCGTTCCAAAGCACGAGAACAATTTTGAATATATAAGAAATGAAAATATAAAATGGTTTTAAAACTGCTTTGTACTGAAAGAAAATGATTGTGTTCTGATCACGTGCTTGCACAATCACCTGCGCATGCGTGCACAATCCATTTTTTTGTTCATAAATAACCAGCCAATCAGAGCACGCGTTATGTCGTGTCTATGTATGATAGAAATTGCTGAAATCCACATAAGTTCACCTGGTATTTGCTCAGCCTTTTATCAAAGGGTTTGATGGCCACTTAAGTGACCTGTCTTACACAAGCACATATTATAAGTTAAACTTATAACTTAAACGATTGTAAAAAACTTGCAAAGAAAAAAAATGCTTTTATACATTAAACAATTATTACAAACATTTTAATGAAGTTTAAGATGGAGACCATTAAGGCTAGACAACATAAATAGTTAATCTTGAAGTAAAAGCAGTATATCTCTCTATAGAAAGCCAGCCCAATTACTTTGAAAGTCAGTGGCCTGTGTACTAGTTAGTAACTCACGTCACTCATTTTCGTTCACGTGCGTAAGTTGAGGAGAAATTATTAGCCGATCATGAAAAGAGCAGTTATATTATAAAAAGCAATGGTCAATGTTTAACTGGTCGTACATCCAGTTCTGAATACGGCTTGGGACTCGGCTACTAGTTACTATCTGTCGGATTTTTGAGATCAGAGCAATTTAGTATCCAATAACGATAAATGAAAGAACACCTTTATCTAAAGAATTAATCATATCCTTTTTGTAATCACTACCAAATCCTGCAATCTGATTGGTTCAAAGGAGTGCGATTAATTCCCAAATCGAATCCTTAGGAGCCTATAATCGCATCCTTAAAAAAAAAATTTTAACAATAAAATAAAACAAAATAGAACGTACAAAAATTATCAAAAAAAAAGTTTTTTATATGGTTTTTTTTTTTTTTCGCATTTAGTTCTTCTACTACATTAAATTGTTTATTCTGCACTCTTTATTGTGTCTTTTTCTTGTGTATGATTACAAAAAGGATATGATTAAGTGGTAATTGAACTTCGTGTCGTGCAATTTTGGTCTGAAATCAAACTTGCAATTACAAATCACACTCTCCCTACGCGGTCGTACGATTTTCTAATCGCGCGTTTGATTTCAGACCAAATTGCACTCCACTCAGTTCAATTACCATCATATATATAATAGAAATAGGATACCCTGGGGATCATCAGAAGCATGTAGATATATCAGTTGACAGCCATAAATCAATGCTAACGATAGACAAATAACTAATCCTAGTTCTGTGGCTAGATGATAACCCAATAAAACTAAACTATAAGGCTTAGAAAAGATAGAGCTTCTTAAGATAAATCATTTGTTTGTACGTTAGAGATTATCTTCTTTATCTTAAGGCTTCCGTAATTACTGGCTGTATATTGCCAAAAATATCCCAATATTGGTGTAGCGATGGTACTTTGCTCAAGTATTTAGAACGTGAACCAACGCGTCGTATCAGTGAATTTTAATTGCTTGAGATTCCAATTTTTTTCTCACAGATATATTTGTTATCTCAAAGTAAAGAGAAGAGATGAAGTCATTAAAATGAATAGGGATCGGAAAAGTTTGCTTTAAAATTCATACTGCATATCTACATGAGATTTACTTTGGTTTAAGCCGTGAAGCAAATCCTATTATTTACTTTGAGGCAAAAAATGTTTTTTGAAGAAAATGAAATCCCTCTTGAACTGCATGGGTGTTGTTGTCTTGATCGACAAAAAATAGGAACTCGAAGTCTTTTTTTTTTTTTTTTTTGTAGAAAACCCGTCTTCTACCGTTGCCCTTAGAGTGGGTATAAATTTGTTAGCATTCAATGTCACCTTTTATAACACATTCCCAAGTCTTTCGTATAGGATTGACGTCAGATATTTCTGATTCAAAAATCGTTTAAAATTGATGATTCGATTCTTTCATCATATCGGTTGGTGTTGAAATGAAATGTTATCAACTGAATGACTAGTTTAATGTGTGCATCAACAATTTACGAAATTGAATAAAAAACCTAGTGAAAAAAAGACGTGAGTGATAAACAGGAAGTTAAAACGTTTCAAAATATTTTTCTTCAGTATATCAAAATGACATCAAGCATCAAGTATTTGAAGCTGAAGTGTTGTGCTCAAAAATTGAGACCTCACTTCAAAGCTACKCCCTAATATCGTGAATAGTGACATTTGGAGAGTTCTGAACCTAGTTGATCAAGACTTTGATAAATTTTCTAAAGCCCTAGAGCATTTTCCATTTCTAAAAGAAACTTAGAAAGGTCATTCAAAAGCTTTGACTTAAAATTTTCTATGTAAGACAATTTAAAATTCAATTATTTTAAAATTYTTCAAAGCTTAAAATGTATAAAAACCTTCTTAGTCATTGGTTGATTTAATTTTCATGAAGTCTGGAATAACTGTCAAAGCAAAATATACGAAAAGGGTGGGAAACAAAACAATGTTTCTCGTCTGAGTAAACTCAATTTTAGCCATCAAAACCAGGTTTTTGTATATATTACCCATCAAAAATGTTTTGGTTTTTTTTTTTCAAATTTTTTTTGAACGACTTGGGATGATTTAATTTATTATGTAGACATTCGTGTTTTACTGGGAAATACGCCACTCGTATTTTTCAGACGAACTACATCCGGGACCTCAGACATATATTCCATATCCTTATATC